AGCCATCCCATGCACGAATCCTCACATGAGCCCTGCAGAGGGGCCCTGCTCAGCATCTCATGCCGTTCACTCAGCCCTGAGCGCGCTGAGCCCCTTTTGCAGGCAGTTTCTTGTTTTCCTTTGGGAGTAGAGACTGTTTTCTCTCTGTGTCCTTCAAGTCCAGTACGACATACGGTGTCTGCTGCCACTGCTGCGTCCATGGGAACACCAGAGGGGCCTTTGGAGGATTATAAGTCAGTCATTCAATAACTTTTATTTAGCAGCTGCTGGGTGCTATACTATATTGGGTCCTGGGGTCTCAAAGATAAACTGGTGACATCTCTTATGTGCGCATGAGAAAGCAGAAGGGTGCGTGTCAGCAGAGTTCCCTGGTGGAGAGTCTAGCTGTCCCCAACCACTTCAGGCGAGTTTAGAACCCTTTCCTCTCTGCTCCTCTGTGGCCTCAGCCTTTTTCCACGGTAAGTGTACTTCGTGGACATGCTAGTGTGCTTAACATGCCATCTGTACGTTAAAAAATCTAGCGCTTGGACTTCCCTGATGGTCCAGTGGTTAAGACTCTGAACTTCCAATGCAAGGGGTGCCAGTTTGATCCTCGGTCAGGGAACTAAGATCCCACAAGCTGCAGGGCACGGCCAAAACAAAAAAATCTAACCATTTAGTATGAAAATGTTAAACATATATGCAAGTAGAAAGAAGAGTGTAACAACAGTCCTTCCCTGCTTCAACAATTATCAACATTTTCTATTCTGGTTTCATCTCTCCCCACAGTTATTTTTCATGAGAGAGAAATTTAAGGCAAATCTGAGATGCTGTATCATTTCATTCACTAATACCTCAGGATCCATCTCTAAAAGGTAAGGACTTTTGGAACAATGTTGCTGCAAAACTCTGGATCCACCCAACAAAGTTAACAATAATTCTATACTCTCATCTAATGTCTGGGTTGTGTTTATTTTTTCTCCAGTTATCTCAAAAATGTCTTTTTGAAATAATTTTCATTTTTAAAGTTAGGTCAATGGTTGCATTTGATTGATAGGTTTCTTAAGTTTCTTTTTTAAGGTAAAACATTTTAATAGTTGTCAAATATACAGTTATTAGAATTATCTAAATGTCATTTATATAAAAATTGGTATATCACATTAGGTGATTCTATAAAATAAAAACACAAAATTACACTCTGACAACAATTCCTGCAATCCAAGAATACCCCCCCATCAATACTGCAAATTACAAATACATTTTTTAAAAAGAGGTTCTTAAGTTTAATTTCCCATCACTTCCTTTCCCGCCCTGCACCATCCCTATGTATTTGTTGATGAAATCAGCTCAATTGTTTTGTTTCCACAATCAGTTTTGGCTGATTCCACTCTTGGAGTGTTTTAACTATGTCTTTTTATTACCTGCATTCCTGTCCATTGGCAGTTAGATCTAGAGACTTAACCATCCCAGGTGATGAAAGTGGTAAAGAATCAGCCTGCCAATGAAGGAGATTCAGGAGACCTGAGTTTCATCCCTGAGTCAGGAAGATCCCCTGGAGGAGGAAATGGCAACCCACTCCAATATTCTTGCCTGAAAAATCTTGCGGTCAAAGGCTTGTCCACAGTCCATGGGGTCACAAAGAGTCAGACACGACTGAGCTACTGAGCGTGACCATAGTCAGATCATGTTTTTCTGCCAACAATACGACACCGCTATAGCTCCCCCGTTACGCCACATTGGGGTGTGCATGTTGTATCCTCGCGGTCTGGGTTCTTGTCCTCCCGTTTTGACCTGCTGTTCCTCGGCGGGGAGGGACTCTCAATTACTGCAGCCTCCAGTCCGTCTGGTGACCCCTGAGTCCTCACGGGTTGAAGAGCCAGCGAGTGGCTCTGTTGAGGGAGCCAGGAGAGGTTTCCTGCAGGACCTAGGTCTTGATGGATGAGCAGGCATCGGCAGGTAGGTGATGGGGCGGACAACCCAAAGAACAGACCTGGGTGAGTTCAGGAGTTGGCTTAACACTTGTGAGCATGGTCACGCTTAAGGACAGAGCAAGCACAAATAGTGAAGTGGCATTCGCTTTAGCCTTGGTAGTGATGTGGGCAGAGAAAGTAGCTCACAGAATTGTGCCAAGGCCACTTCTCTGCTGTCTTTGGGTTCGTTCTGCTTGCAGCACCGATGAAAAATGCCCCCTGAGCCTCAGGGGAGGGTTGCTGGGAAGCAGTGTTAGTAGCTCGTGGGGGACTCAAGGGTCTTATAGACATCAGCGCTATTCACCCACTCATTCATGGAGACAGAAGGGAAGGGCCTGACAGAACAACAGCCTTAGACTCCAGTCCAGATTGGACTCTGGCTGGCTGAGTCACCTTGGGCAAGTCCTCTAAGACAGGAGTCTCCAACCCCGGTTCCGGTCCTTGGCATGTCAGGAACCGGGCCACACGGCAGGAGCTGAGCAGCAGGTGGGAGCGTCAGCAGACCCTCATCTGTACTTCCATCCGCCCTTCACGTTCTCATGCCGCCTGAGCTCCACCTCCCAGCAGATGAGTGGAGGCATTAGATTCTCATAGGTGCTCCGACCCTACTGTGCCCAGCGCATGCATGAACACCTCCCGGCAGATGAGTGGAGGCATTAGATTCTCATAGGTGCTCCGACCCTGCTGTGCCCAGCGCATGCATGAACTAGGTTGCCTACTCCTTATGGGAATCGTACTAAAGCCACCCCCACCACCCCGTATGTGGAAAAACTGTCTTCTATGAAACTGGTCCCTGGTGCCAAAAAGTGTAGGAACTGCGGCTCTGAGAGTTTCGAGTCAGTCTGAACGTGGGGATGTCAACACTGACCGCAGAGACTGGCTGTGAGAATGTACGCTAAGTATGCCCTAGGCGCCTACTGTAGAACCGCATGGTTTTGAGATTCGCGCCTGCTGATTCTCTCCCTTCCATTCTGCAAACACTTGGAGGGACCAATGACTGCAGGGGTGCCGTGCCAGGCACGGGGCGTGTGCTCCGGAGCCTGTGCCCAGGGACGGAGGAGATAAGGCAAGTGGGAGTTCACGGGTGGTCACACCATAGACGGGAGGGGTCGCCGCCAGAGGCCCGCGGCTGAAGGTGCAGCGAGACGGCCGGCCTCGGCCGCGTGTGTCTCTGCGCAGGCCGGCGCGTCCGAGGCCCGCGGTGGCCCTCCCTAGATCACAGCCTGCTCTGCTTCTCCTGTTACGGCAGGAGCAGACTCTAAATTGGATGTGAAGGGAAAAAGAACAGAAGGACTTTTTCTGCTTCTCTGAGGACGGGCAGTCTGCCCTCACGACCTGATGACATCCCTAACCTAGGCATAAGGACACAGGCGTCAGGGCGCCGCCCTCTTTGCCATGAAGTCAAAGCCGCTTGGGGCCCGTCGGGTGCACTTGGGGTCAGCCGCCTTCATCTGATTCGCTTTGTCTGCGACGCCGCAAAACTCAGCTGGATGATCCGGTCTGATGGAAAGTACACCCCACGGCCGGAGCCTGAGGATAACGGGCAAGAATCCCCGCGGTCACACGCCGGGCGCCCCGGGGCACGTTCTGCCCGCAGGGCCCGGAGACCGCGAGCAGCGTTTTCCCCACGGGAAGCACAGCCTCCGCAGGGATCTGTCTCCAGGCGGCACTGTAGCCTCCTCTTCTGGCACCATGGAGCCTATTCTTCCGCCAGGATTTCTGGCATCAGGAGTGAAGGGAGCCGGGCCAGGCAGCTCCCGGGGAGAGGTGGGCCTCCCCCAGCCTCTCTGAGCCGCCGCGCCCCCAGGCTGGGGCTGCGAAGGGTGGGCGGCCAAGGACAGACTTCTTTTCTGTGAAACCTTCATGCAGGGATTCATCTCCACAGCTTGCATCACGCTCGCTCTTGGTGCATCTGACAGCCTGCGGGTTTGGGCTGCCTTTGCAGCTTTATTAGGCATCACAGCAGCTGAGCAGACTTTGCTTTTTTTTTTTTTTTTGAAACCCCAGTTCCCCAAGCTAGTCTTGAATTTCTCAGGCTTTGCTTTTGTGAAGCCCTTTTATTAAAACTGTGTGATACAGTCACTGAAAAGATCAGAAGGGAAAAACAATAGAACATAAAGAAGGGAATACCCAAGGAAACCGTTGTAGGGATCAAGAAGTAGACCCTTCCTGACTCCCAGAAACACAGCCCCCGGTTGCTCACACTCCTCCCCCTTCCCTGGCTTTTTTTTTTTTTTTAACAGCCAGCAGGAACTCACATTTTTTTTTTCCCCCAGGCAGCTTGTGGGAATCTTAGTTCCCTGACGAGGGATTGAACCTGGGCCCTCAGAATTGAAAGTGCAGAATCCTAACCACTGGACCACCAGGGAATTCCCAGTTCTTCCTGGTTTTTCTTTCTTTTTTTTTAAATTTAAAAATTAAAAAAAATTAAATGTTGTGTTGGTTGTGGCCATACAACAATGCAAATCAGCCATAATTTGCTGATTTGCCATATACATATCCATCCATCCATCCAACCATCCATATACATGTACATACATACACATATGTATGTATACAGCCATATACATACATCCCCTCCCTCCTTAGACTCCCAGCGCTCCCCCATCTCCTCCCTCCAGGTCATCACAGGAGCCAGACTGGGCTCCTTGTGACTCACAGCAAGTTCCCATCAGTCACTCATCTTACACCTGATAATGTGTCTGTGTTGACGCTACTTTCTTCGTTTTTCTCACTCTCTTCCTCCCTCACTGTGTCCACAAGTCCAGTCTCTACATTTGTGTCTCTTTTCCTTCCTTGCAAATAGATTTATCAATATAACTGTTCTAGATTCCAGGTTTTAATGCCAATTGTTTCTTTGCTTCTCTTTACGCTTTGGCCACCTAACTCTTCATCTGGAAACCCTGTAATTTATCCTTGCAAGCTTTACAATGTATAGAAATGGGATTATACACCACCTAGTATTTCCCTGCTGGTTTCTTTAGCTGGGTATCATGTGTCTATGAGGCCTCCATGTGGTTCCCCAGAGATGGAGCTCGGCCACTTTCCTGGCTACATAGTGAATACTGTGTCGTCGTTGGGACACATGACAGAATAGCCATTCTGCGGCTGCTGGCTGTTGGAGCGGTTTGCAGCTGGGACCGATCCCAGCGATGCCGCTGAGAGTGTCCTTGCACAGGTCTCCTGGGGCGTGAGTTGCTCCTGAAAGCTGAGTCTCACTTTGTGTGGCTGGGGACAGGGGCTTCGGTCCCGCTGCTCTTCAGGGAACTGACTGTGGGTTCTGGCTTGTGCTCCCCCTCTCCTGCAGACCGCTGGGTGGGAGGACCGGCCTGGAGGTCGCTCATTAGAATTCTCCCCAGAAATCAAGGGAGGAAGAAGCAAGAACTTTCTGGGCAGGAGAGAGGGAGCCACTGGAAAGGGTACTGAGCTGGAGATCAAAGAGCCTTCGAGCTGCTGGCTTTTGATGTGAGCGGTTCCTGCACAGCCCGCAGTAATGAATTCACTCATCTTCAGAGCTCGCTGCGTTCCCCACCCACCGCGTCCTAATCAGCAAGCCTCCACTCAAGGCCAACAGCATCGTCATGAACAAGTCCTGGGGCTCAGAGCCAGGGTGCCCTTGGCTGCCACGGGCACTCAGCCCTGCTGGAATTGCTTTGGGGAAGAGCTTTGAAGCCCATTTGCAGAGGCTGTAAAATCAGAGAAAGCTGGAACCGACGTCCTTCGAGATAGTCCCAGGCAGGCTCTGTGGCTGTCTACAGGCTTGTGGGGCAAATTTGAAGAGAGGTAGTGTTTGTTTCCCTTCCATGGAGCTTGTAGGTTCGGCATGTTCAAGATAGCATCTCCCTTCCTCTCCTCTTTCTATGCCCTTTTGTCTTTTTCACGTTCATGCCTCCTTTTTTCAGAAATTAATTTGTCTCTTCTTCTACCATTAAAGAATAGATATACATCTCCCTCCAGTGAGCCTTGGACAGGGGTGCCATCCAATACAGCCTTAAAGATCACATTTGCAGAACAGAAGACTAAGACGGAGGAAAAGCAAACATGGGGAAAATGGTTGTTAGGACAGGTACAGCTATTTTGGGTGACAGAGGCAGGAAGAATGGCATCAGATGGGGGAGGCCATGAGGGAACCCTCTGGGGAAGCTGGAATGTTTTGCATCTTGATTTTGGGGGTGGTTACCTCAGTGAATGCCTCTGTAAATAACCTGTGCATGCACTACAGCAGAAATTAACACACCATGGTAAAATCAATAAAGTTGTAAATTCAATAAAATAAAAAAAGTCATCCAGCTGTCCACTTAGATTTGTGCACTTTACTGAATGGAAGTTGCACACTGGGAAAAAAAAGAAAACTCTAGAGATTTCCCTGGTGGCCCAGTGGCTAGGACCACGTGCTCCCAGTGCAAGGGGGCCCAGGTTCAATCCCGGGCCAGGGACCTAGATCCTGCGTGCTGGAGCTAAGAGATCCCGCAGCTGCAATGAAGCCTGACGACCCGGAGTGTCGCAACTAAGACACGGTACAGCCACATAAACAAATAAACATTCTAAAAAGAAAGAAAGAAGAAGCGGTCAGGAAGTTTCTTCTTGCCCTGATTATTGCACTTACCCCCAGTTTCCTCCATCGTCCTCTCAAGTGGCATACATATCACATAGCCATGTGAAATAAACCCCTCAATACAATGCTATAAATTTTACTTTAAACAGTAATATTATTTTAAGGAAAAGGGCAGAAAGATTGTTTTTTATGTCTATCCATGTATTTATCACTTTTGAAGATCCTTTTGGGAGACCCAAGTTTCTATTTCACTTCAGTCTGAAGAGCATTTGTTAAGTATTTCTTACAAGGGCTGACAAAAAACATTCTTAGCTTTTCCTTTATATGAAAAATGTTTTTACTTTTCCTTCAGTTTCAGATTTTCATTGAAAAAGAATCCTAGTTCTCCCTCCTTCTTTTCTCTCCCTCCCTCCCTCCCTTCTTTCTTTCTTTTTCTCTTCAGTGTAAAGATTTTCCCCCCCATATTTTTGGCCTTTTTTTTTTTTCCTGATGAGAAATCAGCTACGATCTGTATCCTCGTTTCCCTGTATATAATGTGTTGTTTTTCTCTGATGCTTTCAGGATTTTCTTTTTACATTTGGGTTCCAGTATTTTGACTAAGATGACATAAGTATGGTTTTCATTTATTTTGCTTCATGTGCCCTGAGATTCTTGAATCTATAAATGTATGTCCTTTGCCAAACATGGGATTTTTGTATCATTTTCTTTAAAGGTTTTTTTTCCCGCCGCCTCCTTTTGTTTTCTCTCCATCTGAGGCTATATGTATTATTATTAAAACATGTGTGGTTTTAGTCATTCAGTCCTGTCCGACTCTGTGACCCTATGGCCTTTAGCCCACCAAGCTCCTCTGTCCATGGAATTCTCCAGGCAAGAATGCTGGAGTGGGTAGCCAGTCCCTTCTCGAGGGGATCTTCCCGACCCAGGGATTGAACCCCGGTTTCCTGCATTGCAGGAAGATTTTTTACCATCTGAACCACCAGGGAAGCTGTTGTTATTATAACACATAATAATATTACAATATTGTGTGTGCGTCCTCAGGTGCTCAGTCATGTCCAGCTCTTTGCGACTCCACGGACTATAGCCCCCCAGGCTCCTCTGTCCATGGGATTTTCCAGGTGTGAATACTAGAGTGGGCTGCCATACATGTATTATTATTATGTATATTAATAATATATGTATTATCACATGTGTGATATTATTAGTATGTACTATTATTTCCTATTTCTCACAAGTCTCTGAAGCTTTATTTTATTTTTTATTTTTATTTTTTTTTATTTTACTTTACAAGATTGTATTGGTTTTGCCATACACTGACTTGAATCCGCCACGGGTGTACATGTGTCCCCATCCTGAACCCCCCTCCCACCTCCCTCCCCATCCCATCCCTCTGGGTCATCCCACTGCACCAGCCCCGAGCACCCTGTCTCATGCATCCAACCTGGACTGGAGATCCGCTTCACATATGATAATTTGCATGTTTCAATGCCATTCTCCCAAATCATCCCACCCTCACCCTCTCCCACACAGTGTTTTATACATCTATGTCTCTTTCGCTGCCTTGCATACAGGGTCATCGTTACCATCTTTCTAAATTCCATATATATGCATTAGTATACTGTGTTGGTATTTTTCTTTCTGGCTTACTTCACTCTGTGTCATAGGCTCCAATTTCATCCACCTCATTAGAACTGATTCAAATGTATTCTTTTTAATGTCTGAGTAATAGTCCACTGTGTATATGTACCACAGCTTTCTTATCCATTTGTCTGCTGATGGACATCTAGGTTGCTTCCATGTCCTGGCTATGATAAACAGTGCTGTGATGAGCAATAGGGTACACGTGTCTCTTTCAATTCTGGTTTCCTTGGTGTGTAATATTATTAGTATGTACTATTATTTCCTATTTCTCACAAGTCTCTGAAGCTTTATTTTTTTAAAATGTTTTCTTTCTTCTTCAATTGGATAATTCTCTTGATCTGATTTCACATTGACTGACTCTTTTGTTATTTCCAACCTACTGTTAAGCTCATCCAATGAATTTTTTATTTCAGATATATTTTTAAATCCAGTATTTCCATTTAATTCTTTTATAATTTCCAGTTATCTCTGGTTATTTTCTGTCCACTCATTTTATTGCTTTATATATTTGAGCACCATTGTAATGGCTGTTTTAACACACTTGCTAATTTTGCATCTAAGTCATCTTGGAGTTGGTTTCACTTGACTGTCATTTCTCTTGTGTATGAGTCATATTTTATCTCCCCTCATGTCTAGTAATTTTAGATTATATCATGGATACTATGAATAGTATGTTGTAGAGGGTACCCTATAAAGGGTAGTGTTCTTCTGTTTTACCAGGCAATTAACCTGGCTAATCCAATCTCAAATTCTAAATTCCCCTCCATTATATAGCAATTACCATTTCTGTTTAGTTCTTTCAGCCTTAGCTGGGCATCTTGGTATTAGCCTATCTATGCTTACTTTAGAGTTGGCCAGAGATTTTCTTAGAGTTTATATGTAGAATTGGGGCTTCCCCTTTGGGGCTCTCTTCTTTCCAGTATTTCCCCCTCCATTTCTCAGCTACTGTTGCTCTGAATATTGTCTTCTCATTACTGAGCCAGTGAGGTTTCTATTCAACCTTTGGTCACTTTCCAGTGACATCATTTGTGGACTACACTCAGGAAAAAAGACATTAAAAATGGGCAATTATCCAAGTGCCAAGCTTTTCCTCTAAATGTTGACAACCAGTTTTTTGTCTGGTTTTGGCTATTCTCAAATGGCTTCAGACATTGGTTTTGTGTGTGTGTGTGTGTGTTTTGTCCAGAGTTTATAATTGTTACTTTGAGAGGATTGGTCTAATATGAGCTACTCAGCAATGACTAGAAATGGAATCTTGTCATCTATTCTTGCCTAATGATCGTAAAACTTGATTTTGTGTTTGTTTTATTAAAACAATATGGTAAAGTTGCTGATAAAAAATGCTTTCTTTGGCATCAGAAATGTTTCCAGTGTTAAAAAGGTAGTAATAATAAAAGTGCAGTAACTTTTAAATCATAACTTAATAAATATGCTCTAGTACAAAGCCCTAAGGATAATATTTTCTTTGGAAAATTGGATAGTTTCCACAAATAAGGAGCTTTAGAATAATGGAAAAATTTCAAGAATCCTTTTCTAGTAATTTTTTTCTCATTCCATGGAAAAATGAAAACTTTTCTTATTTGGCTCATTTTAAACTTCATCCTTCAGTATTCTCTTTATATTAACTTACACAATATGTAGGTGCTAAAATAGACTTCAATTTTTGTGGCTAGTAATGTTAAAAGAGTAGAGTTGAATCTAAGAAAATAGAGAAATTTCATTACTTTAGGGCTAACCCTTGTCTTTATTTTGGAGGCAGATCAGAAAGAAATTTTTGTGCATTAAATAAAGAAAAATCCCATTCTGGCTTTCTGCATATTATGTAAATCATCCTGTAAAAATTCTAATGCTTCAATCTATCATTTCGTTTGTTTGGTGAGTACTGAGGTTCGCACGGAATATTGGAGTTAATACTATTGTTGTGTATGCATGCTAAGTCACTTCAGTTGTGTTCAACTCTTTGCAACCCTATGGATTGTAGCCCACCAGGCTCCTCTGTCCAATGGATTCTCCAGGTGAGAGTGCTGGAGTGGGTTCCCATGCCCTCCTCCAGGACACAGGACAGGGTCAAAACTGAGACTGTTAAAAGTCTCCCACATATGCAGGTGGGTTCTTTACCACTGGTGTCCCCTGGGAAGCCCAACACTATTGCTGGAACACAGATATAGAAAATGCTAAAATCCCTAATGTCTTTGCTCAGCAATGAATCCTGAAGTACTAAGTTTCCCAAACTTCTGCATCTTATAAGATATAAAATGAATAGACCCTGATATTGTAACCATGACTAAACTTGCCCAGGAGACAAGGTTAGCCT